TGAATTTTGGGATGGAGCTCCAGGGCTGACCCAGCATCCCAAACCAACCCCAATCCCCTTTCTTTGCAGGATCCTGAAGGATTATTTCATGCAGCATCTCCCTGACAGCTCCATCACCAGGGAGTAAAATCCTCCTGGGCTTTAGGATGAAGCTCCAGGGCTGACCCAGATCCCAAACAAACCCCAATCCCCTTTCTGCCTGCAGGATCCTGAAGGATTACTCCGTGCAGCATCTCCCTGATGGAGATTTTACTCCACCATGGAGTAAAATCCTTTTGAACTTTGGGATGGAGCTCCAGGGCTGACCCAGAGCTCCAGGGCTGACCCAGAGCTGCAGGGCTGACCCCAATCCCCTTTCTCTGCAGGATCCTGAAGGATTACTCCGTGCAGAATCTCCCTGACAGCTCCATCACCGTGGAGTAAAATCCTCCTGAACTTTGGGATGGAGCTCCAGGGCTGAGCCAGAACTCCAGGGCTGACCCCAATCCCCTTTCTCTGCAGGATCCTGAAGGATTACTCAGTGCAGCATCTCCCTGATGGCTCCATCACCGTGGAGTAAAATCCCCCAGGCTTTGGGATGGAGCTCCAGGACTGACTCAGAGCTCCAGGGCTGACCCTGAGCTCCAGAGCTGACCCAGAGCTGCAGGGCTGACCCAGAGCTCTAGGGCTGACCCCAATCCCCTTTCTTTGCAGGATCCTGAAGGATTACTCGGTGCAGAATCTCCCTGACAGCTCCATCACCGTGGAGTAAAATCCTCCTGAACTTTGGGATGGAGCTCCAGGGCTGACTCAGAGCTCCAGGGCTGACCCAGAGCTCCAGGGCTGACCCAGAGCTCCAGGGCTGACCCCAATCCCCTTTCTCTGCAGGATCCTGAAGGATTACTCGGTGCAGCATCTCCCTGACGGCTCCATCACCGTGGAGTCCATCCTGATCCAGGCCACGGCGCACTCGGAGGACCAAGGAACCAAAGTCCTGCTCGTCTCCTGGACCTACCAGGTGGGAAATGCTGGGGCTGCACTCCATTCCTGCTGCCCCAACCCCATCAGGTGGCTGTGAGGAGGCTCAAGAAATCAATTGGATTTATTTCTATATTTATATTTATTTATATGAATGAAATCTCTGCCTTTGGAGGGGTTTGACTGGAATGCCAGGGCAGCCATTGCTGTTTTCTGACCATTTGGGGTTTTTTAGCAGAAATGGTTTGACAGGAGCTCTCTGGCCCTGCTGAGCCAGAGGCAACTTCTGGCTCTTTATTTTATTTTATTTTATTTTATTCTATTTTATTCTATTTTATGTTTTATTTATTTTACTTTAATTCTATTCTATTCTATTCTATTCTATTCTATTCTATTCTATTCTATTCTATTCTATTCTATTCTATTCTATTCTATTCTATTCTATCCTATCCTATCCTATCCTATCCTATCCTATCCTATCCTATCCTATCCTATCCTATCCTATCCTATCCTATCCTATCCTGTTTTATTTGACTTTATTTTAATGTTATTTTATTCTATTTTATTTTACTATGTTTTATTAAACTTTATTTCTATTTTATTCTATTCCGTTTTATCTATTTTATTTTACTTTTTTAAAATTTCTTTTTGTTTCTTTTATCTGGTATTTATTTTTATTTAGTTTTTATTTATTTTCATTTTAATTACCATTCATTCAGTCCTCCCTGTGCTTCCTCAAAGGAAACCCCTCAGCTCCTTAGAAAAACAGAATTTTCACACCAATATTTAGAAAAAACACCCTGAAATCAACTTGTGGATTGTTTCAATGTTTGAACACAGCTCACATTTGATCTTTTAAACTCCAGCAATTCTCTCAGTCCATTTCTAGGCAACAAAATTGAATTTTCAGCCCCAAAATTATTTTTTCTGACCCTGTTTCTGTGTTTTCCTTGCAGGATGAAGAGCTGGGCAGTTCCCTCACCTCCCTCCTGAAGAAGGGGCTGCCCCAGGGCACACCCTGAGAGTGCAGACTTAAATTATTTTTACATCAAAAACGYTTTTTTCTGGTTGGTTTTAATAAAAAAATTCTGTTTGTCCAATTCTTGTCCCAGCTCTGGGATTTTTTCCCCCTTGAAAAAACACATCCAGGGAGTCAAAAACCTGATTTTTTTTTAACCTCATTCTTAAAATGAGCATTTTTTTCAAAAYAGAATTTTTCTTATTCTTAAAATGAGCTCGTTTCTTTTAAAATTATTCTAAAATGATTCTTTTAAACCCCAGCAGTGCTGACTGAAACAATGAAAATTCAAAGTATAAAAGCTTCACAGAGCCTATAGAAAACATAAATTTTTATTTAAATTTTTATTCAGARCATAAAAACTGGGCTTGGCTGATAAGAGCAATTTCCCTCCGGTGCTGGGAGGATTTTTTTCTATAAATGGGATAAAAATAGCAATTTCTACTGAAGGTAAAGAGGTTCTTTTGGGCTAAATCTTGAGATTTTCACCAAACCCTACTGAGGAACACAGGGATCATTTTTTTCCCCACAGTCTGGCAAAGCTGGAGCTGATTTTCTGGGCAATATTTTAAAATATTGGTAAAAAGCAGGAAGGGAGAGGTCAGAAGCCCAAGGTGGTGTTTTAATTGTAATTAATAAAAAGCAACAATCACGGCTCTGCACCCCCAAAATCCAACCAGGGCAGGGTTTGAGCTCTGCTTTGGGAATTCCAGGTGTTCTTTGATCCCTGCTCAGCTCAGGGGGTTTTGTGGGGTGGCTTTAACAGAGCCAAAAACCCATTTGGGATTTCCCC